GAGAGAGAGTGCGAGAACAAAAAAGAGAGAGAAGGGGGAGGGAGAATGAGAAAGCGAGAGGGAGCGAGAGAGAGTGCGAGAACAAAAAAGAGAGAGAAGTGGGTAGGAGAATGAGAAAGCGAGTGAGCAGTTCCTTTGTCGAAGAGTTATAGATTTAGGATTTAGTTCTGGCTGCGTTAGATGTTTGAGCGCTTCTTTGTCGTGACGCAGCGCCGGCGTCTCTCCTCTCTCTCTCTCTCTCCTCTCCTTACCTTCTCCGTCTCTCTTTCTATCTTATCTCTTCTTTCTCTCTCTCTCTTCTCTCTCTCTCTCTCTTTCTATCTTTCTCTCTTTTCTCTCTCTCTCTTCTCTCTCTTTCTCTCACTCTCTCTCTTCTCGCTCTTCTCTCATCTCTCTCTCCTCTCTCTCTCTCTCTCTTACTGTCTTTCTACTTTTCTTCTCTTTCTCTCTCTTCTTTACTCTTCTCTACTACTCCTCCTCGTCTCTCTCTCTCTCTCCTCTCTCTCTTTCTTTCTCTCTTTCTCCTTCTCTTTCTCTTTCTCTTTTCTCTCTTCTTTTTCTCTTTCTCGTTTCTCTCTCTCTCTTTCTCTTTTCTCTCTTCTCTTCTCTTCTCACTACTTCCCCCGCCCCCCTTCTCTCCGTGGGACGCCCTCTCCTCGTGCTCTTCTTCTTCTGCCTCTCTCCCTCTTCTCCTCTCTTCACCTCTCTCCTCTTCCTCCTTCCTCCTCCTTCCTCCTCTCTCTTCTCTTCTCTCTCTCTCTGCCTGTCTCTCTCTCTCTCTCTCAGGCTCTCTCTCGCTGTCTCTCTCTTTCTCACGTGCGCCCCCCTCTCTATCTCTTTCTCTCTCTGAGGGTTCTCAGTTGATCAGCCTGCTCTCTTTGCTGCATGCTCGAGGCTGCATGGTACAGACCAGGGAAAAAGTCTAATGCAGAACTAACGCTAACGCTTTGCCTGCTTTCAGATGTGCACGTGTTTTGCTGTGTGAAGTGTGGCTAGATATTGACTGTGGGTTTTGATTTTACGGTGTGCCGTGTGGTTAAGATTTTGACTGTGAGTTCTATTTCAGCTGTACATGTGCGACGTGCCAGTGGTTGTATTTTAAGTCTGACTGTGATTTTGCTTGTCTGACTTGGGGTTAGATTTTGACCGTCAATTCTGTTTTGGCTGTACATACATGTGCCAATTGGAGTAAGATAGGCTGTGCTGTTTAATATGGCTGTGTGACGTGGGGTTATATTTTGCCTTTGATTTTTGATTTGGCAGTCTGACATGGGGTTAGATTTTGACTTTGATTTCAGGTTTGGCTGTCTCACTTGGAGATTAGATTTTGACCGTGTTTGAATTCCGTTTTGGCAGTGTGAACAGAGGGATGAGCATATGACTGTTGATTTTTAGATTTGTGCATACGTGTAAAGTCTGCCTAGTATTTTACTGAGACTCTTGAGCCAACTACATTGTTCTGAGATGTTTGTGTTTGCGGATTGACAAACTCCGCATGTCTCAGATGCCTCTACATCTGCAAGCACAGTCACCAGCCACGTTGCGAAAGATCGAAAACTCGAGACTCAAACTTTGACCCCGTTCGTCGGCGATTGTTTTTTCGTTGGTGCGGCGACAATGAAGTCGCTGCCAGCGACGCCCTCTGGGGGCGAATATACCGTATGCGTAACGTCGCCGTCTGCATTCGCAGCGGTATGTGTTCTCCTCGCAGTGAAAAAAATACACGGGGGCTCGGGGTGATTTAGCCCCCGAAATGCCAAAAAGAGCCCCCGTAAATTTGCATAGAGTTCAATGCAAACCAAATTTTAGAGTGCTATTTTCATGCACGCGGGCTTGAAAAGTAGCCCCCGAAAAATAAATAATATTTTTTTCCCTGTCTCCTTGTGCTATGCTTGCTTGATGCTGTTCTCTTTGCGTGTGCACCTGTGCCAAATCTCATTAGAATCTCCCGTGCGCAACTATTTTGGTTATTCAGTCTTATGGTCTTTCAGTTCGTTTGCTCAGTTCATTCGCTCGGTCGGTTAAATCTCGATTGCTTTTTTCAATTTGTTCAGCATCTTCCTGTGTTCAGTTCGTCGGCAGTCGGTCTATTTCGTTTCGGTTTTCTTTTTTTGATTTCGTTTTCTGGTATAGTTTTACTTTTTATAGTCTTTGGTAGGCCATGAACGGTCGTTTTTCAGCAATCGGTTATGTTTTGCATTTGCTTTTTGCCGTTACGGTTCACTTGTGTTCGGCTTTTGGTTTTGTTGTTGCCACTGGTTCTGTTTTGTTTGGCTCCGATTTGCATTCGGCGTTTGTTGTTCGATTTATTTCAGAGTTTCGGCTCGTGTTTGATGCCTCATCGGCGCGGGGATTTATTTTTCGGGCCGCGCATTATTCATGTTTTTGCGTGAGTTTGCGCGTCCCGGCTCAGCGATCGTCCCGTCGTCGGCTTCGCTCGCAAATGCCTCTCGTCGCCACGGTAACGGTCGTCGTGACGGCGGCGAGCGAGCGAGAGAGAGATGCGACGCTCCGGCGCGTGTCTGTCGGGCTGACGCGTGACGGAGCGCGGTCGAGACAAATTGCGTGTTGTCCTCCCACGCAGCAGTGAGAGGAAGCGTGTGTGGGGGGAGGAAGCGTGTGCATCGTGGGGGGGAGGGAGCGTGTGCAGCCAGCATCGTGGGGGGAGGGAGCGTGTGCAAGCCAGCATCGTGGGGGTGGGGGGAGTGTAAAGAGTCGGGTCTGGCAATGAAGCCTATGCAGAGGGGTGCGGTATATTGAGAGAGGAACCCCACGCAGGTAGAGAGAGAGAGAGAGAGAGGGAGAGAGAGGAGAAGAGAGAGAGTTTCTCCTTAGGGCAGGGTTCTCCAAGAGCACTTATTGCCAGGCTATCGTCGAGCCCCGCCATCCTAAAATGCACCC